ATAAAAACAAAGGTGACACAAATTGCTAGAAAACAGCAGGAGATAAGAAGGCTAATAATGAGGAATTTATAATTTTGGAATGTTAAACTGTTTCACATAAAATTTTACCCTTTTGTGAGTTTCCAATCACGCACCGATGACTACATCAAAAAGTATTGCTGACGTGTCTCCAAAACTAGTACCATTTCAGGTATGTTTTTTTTCCAAACAGTAAAACGATTTGAAACGGAAGCAAATAAATGTGTACCTGGCGAATACCCGCAATGAGTCCTCGTATGTAATTCCGCAAGAATCCACAAGCATATTCAGGATCTTAAATATATTGAAAAATAGAAAAACGCGTACTACGCAATACAATGCAGTTTTTACTAATGGGTTTTTGCATAAACTTAGTTCAAAGTGATACAGTAGCATTATGAGGCAGTTTGAGATTGCTCAATTTCTTGAACAACGTGATACTTATTCCACATCCCTTCAGAACGTAATACATTCAAACTCATGATTAGCTTAGAGAAATTACGGGAACTAGGGAGTACTCAGCCAGCGTTTGATTCTAAATAGGTGAACCTGTGCTCTGAACATCACTATCAATTCAAGAACGTCTGCATAAAAATTGGAATTAGTCAACATGTAAGTGGCAACCAGCTATTAAAACGCGGTACTGTCGAGCAACTGAGAATCGGATAGTGGGGAGCGGGATAGGACTCAACACCCTGTTCCAACCCATACCATCCGATTTACTCCTATAATCTGAAGCAGCCTATAGTTTTATAAATTACAAAAAATACGATGAGTAAAACAAGTTTCAAAACGATAACAATAAGGTCTTTCGTAGCCTGCCAATGCATGAATATATCCAGCATTCGAAATTCTGGTGAGCAGACTTATGCTCAAAACGAGTCAATGAAAACAAGTACGATACTTGTTTTAAAGCCAAAGTCATATTCATTCGAAAACTTTCACCGCTTTGAGATGATGCAAATGGAGTCGAAAGGATTGAAAAGGGATGCAAGATCGACTAGCTGACGTAGATCAGTGCGCGAGCGATATAAGCATCTTAATCTCTTTTTAACTTGGAATAAATACTGAACTACTGGAATACTTTGTAGAACTTCCAAACGCGCAAAATGCTCCAAACATTGATGGATTCTCACTACCCGAAAACTACTTCCAGTACAAAAAGCCGGAGCCGATACTTTATGAATTGTTTTCTAAGAATCGACCAGATTAGAGACCTAGTGAGCCTAACTTTCTGAATTCCTTTATCCAGTACCTACAATCATAGTCACGCTCCACAATCTTGCAGGTATCCTGCAGGCAAATTGCATTTCAAGCAACCCATCTTATGGCACTCAGCCGGAACCTCTCGAATATGATTTCGTCAACAAAGGAAAACACCAAAAATCCCAACTACTTACCTGCCAAGTATCGTCCCCTTTTGTGGTGAGATTTCGGAATAACCCTGGATTCTTTGTACATGCATCGATTACAAATTCTGGTTTAACACCTGGAACACGGAGACACAAATAATCAAGATCTTGACATCAACTATAGCTCAGAACTCACCAATACTCACTAAAGAACGTAGAGGTTGTGCCAGTTGTTGCATAGCTTCCGAATTAGCAAGAGGTAGAATGAAAGTCGTGCCAACACTTTCCAACTCCGACACTATTCGTTTCAACATGCTTGGACCTGGTACTAGTTCATCAGGACTATAATCCGCTGGTTTGTCTTCAGCCACATCCGCATCGGATACCGTAGACAGATGAGCGCCTCGTAGAGTAAAAGGAGCGTAAGGACGTGCAACTCGTCTGGGCAGCAATACCTAGAATATCCAAAAGTCAACGAAGAAATTCAGAACCAGTTCAATAGTACAATTTCCTCTGCTTGAAAATTACAATGATCGATACTTCGAAAATTTCAATCTACGCGAACGTAGAACCAGATGAATTATTGCTGCGATTGCTGGAAACAGCCTATGTTGGGCTACGGAATGCTGTATTTTGATGGCGCCAGGTGCCGATATTGTTAAAGGAATTTTAAACGTCAATATGTAAAAGCGACAAAATCATCTAAACTACCATTTCTGGTGTGGAACAAGCCGGTTTCGCCGAACAAATATGCCGAAAAAACTTTGATGCCGTCGCGCACATTGTGTAACCACGTCGCATTCTGGAAACGTTAGGAAGGTAAGTAAAAGCATACTGTGAGAAAACATAAGCCATATATAGTAGAAAGCAGATGGATAGATTGAAATGAGAGAATCCTTTCAAATACACAAGGAAAACAGCTAGATACGAATGGATACCCACCTTGACAGGCCAATATCAAAAAACATTGCAATTAAAACATTTTATCCTAAATTAAAACGTGCAACGTTAGTATCTTAAAACGATTTCAAATTTGCCTCTGCATATGTTACTTCTCGAAAATCAAAAACCGGCGTGGTGACAGGCATTTACAAAAAAAAAATCAGAACTCCTGACGATTTTGCATACGTGGCGCTCACCCAAAGTGCAGCTATCTGATGGGCGAGACTGCCTGAGGTGGGGGTAACACCAAAGGCATACCGTAACAGGCTCATAACAAGCTAATACGATAGTAACCACTGATTGAATAGCTTTCGTAGCGAATTTTCCAAAGCTGATCGGCATAATTTCAGAGCCCATACTTGATTTTAGACAAATGGGTCAGGTTCTTAGGTTTGAGATTCGAGAAGTAACCATTTTTAGGAGGAGCCGGGAAACTGCATCACTTTGCCAGAAAAAAAAGTTATCTAAAACAACGCAAATGAAAAAAAAACTCGACGAAACACAGTTAGAAATTGAGATTCACAAAAGAAAAGTAATTATGCAAAAGTAGACACATAAAGTTCAGTATCGGAGAAAGGCGAGAGTGAAAACAAGGATAAAGAAAATATTGGAAAAAGCGCGGATTTCAAGCAAACTCGAGCAAAAAAAAAATAAGTTAAATAGCAAGAGTCAATATCACAACCAGCAGAATACTATTTGATTCTACGAAACATTTTGATAATCATAATCAACGGAGAGAAGCACAACTGTGTGGAGCTCGGACATTAACAAGAAAAGAAAAAAGTTGCGAAAGAAGCAGCTATTATGAATCTCAGACCAAGAAAATCAACCAATCTCATTCGGGTAAATAAAAAAAAGAGCAAGAACGCGATGAAAATGCACATGTAAATAATATTAAACGTAGAGACAATAAAAAAACGTACAAACATATACCAACAAAGTTACTTCATCCGCATTTGATACTCGCCATTTTGTGTTATGTATCGAACCCATGGTAAAGCTTGATACCCACTCTTCTCTATAATTTTCAAGTAGCGAACCTAAAAAGTTTTTATTAGTGCTGACCTAAAATATACAGTATACATATATTGATGGAGGCCTTGTTTAAAAAATTAATTCGGTAGAAGCACCATTAAAAAAACGAGAACGACGGGCTTTCCGATAGTTAGATAGCAGTACTTCCACACCTCACTCCTCATCGATATGGATCAGTGGAATGGATCATCTCGTATTTTGATGTAGTCCACTGCTACCCTTCCCAAATATCAAACATAATGAGGGGCATGTTTTTCGAGGTATCGAAAGTGGGGGAATGAACAAAAAACTCGCCAAGATGTTAGTCACTGAGAAGATTTGACTCAGTACCCATTTCTGGACCCAAAATTACTTTTTACTCAGTAAAAGGCAAAGCTAAAAGAGTTTACATTTCGAAAGATCTTGGCATATTCAAAGAAAAAAAGGGAAGCTTGGATAGAGGATCTTTACAATTAAACCAAAACCAGTGCTTCATCCTATCCAAAATATTCAGCCATTCACTTCCCTCAGCGATGATTATAGGATGACTCTTTGAATTTCTTTACCCATGTTCCATCTAGCTTACCTTGTGCAAGTATCGTCAAGGCAGTGAAAAACACGTATGACAGAATCTACTAAACAAGAAGTTTTACCATGAAAAGAGTGTAAAGTGCTAACAATAATAGAACCAAACCTGAATTCCTGATGTAGTAAAATATGGAATTTCGAATTTCACTTTAATTGGAGGTTTCCCTTCTACTTCTTCGCCCACTACCGAAGGCAATGAGAAATGAGCACTCAACAAATACTCTTTGCCACCTAAATGATTTTTGTTGTAAACTGTCTGTAGAAGAGTTATTTTTAAAAGCTGACAGCTGGTTATAGAGAAGGCGAGATCTCATCTCCCACCTGGAAAACTCTTTATTGTCCAAACAAATGCACTTTGCTCTGGTGCATAGCGCACTGCTCCAATACTAGTCTTGAATTTTGGTGAATCGGCATCTGATGGTACAGGAATGATGATCTCCACATTGTTTGCAGTAGAACGACGCTTGAACTGCGATTTAGCCTGAAAAAAATCAGTACTCTTAAAGAATTAGAAATTGTGGCATTGTCTACAAACTCAAGCTCATTTCTTCTATATCAAGTTTAAATGGCTCGAAACCTTCTTATTATAAATAAGTAGCGATATCCCGAGGGATGAATTTAACCTTACCTTAATCATGAACTCAACACGCGAATGTGAGTGCCTTTCAATGTTGGTTTCGATCCAAATGAGTGGTTTGACAACCGTTGTGAGTCGGTAGCTCATAAGCTCAAAAGCTCCATCGGGTGGAATGAACGAGATTGTTCTATCATTGTCAAATCGTGAAAGTCGAACACATTGATGAAATTTGACGTCTTCCAATTCGACCGACTTGCTTTTGCCGCCTGAACTTCAATTTTACTAGTAAGATAGGCATCTCAAAAAAACGCCGCCCGCACATTCCCGAACATTCCAAGCAGTAATGTAAACGGAAATTATATAAAAACACATAGATATATAAATGTAATCGAAGGAGATTCCCAATGTTCGAAGGAGAACAAGTTGTAAATTTCAAAACTTAAGCATAATGAACAAGAAATGAAATGTATGCAAATTGAGGACCTCGCTCAGCAGGCGATTTTAGTGCACAGTCATGCCATGAATGTCTGGACAGAATCAAAGAACCGCTTCGGTTAAACAAGACTTATCATTCGCTGGGAACTTTTTCTAACAATTGATAAAAGCTAGTTGTCAAGATTAGTCGCACTACGATTGAACGACTAACCATACGCACTTCATCTTTGGTTTCTTTGTGGGCTACGCTAATTCTAAGCCAAAAGGTAACCCAGGATTGAAGTCCAAGTAGAAAATCGAAGAAATCTGTGCGGCAGAGAAAGGCTTGAAATACTAATAGCCGCTTACTCGTAGCCAAAGTGCATTTTAAACAAGTTTCAAGCACTTTGCTGGTCACAGCGAAATAACTTGTAGAAGTTCTCAGGATAGAAAAACAAAAAGCGTGACTAACACAATTAGCAGTAACGAACGAATGGCACCCAGCAGAGAACATGCACACACATCGAGTAGTGTTTAAAGAACGAAAAACGGCACATAAAAAATGAACTCGAAAAACTCACGTCCACTTCCCTCGAACAGCACCTTGTCATTGAGACCAAGGCGCAGTTCTGGCATACCCGTCAAATACACCCGCATTTTGACACAACCAACAATCTCACTTTGCAAGACTGTGCCATTAGCGTTCGCCTAGAAAAACGGAACTGTAGAAATGGCTGAGCAAAGGAGGAAGTACAAACAAATAAAGGAAATTTCAACCAAAAACAAAAATAGCGGAATACGAACAGCTGCGGATTTCAGACATAATTCGCTCTGTTAAAGCNCAGAATAAGCAAATATGCGCTGAATGTACAGTAGTAATTGGAATAGGAAGAAAATTGAGTAGGAAAACAAGACCAAAATTCTTGACCGTGTTCGAGACATACCTCACCGTCTCGTAGTTACTTACATGACTGAATCAAGCTGACAATGAATCAACTGAATTAACTTACCAGCATATTGACGCTTTCGATCACATCCAAAAACACTTCATTTTTTCTGTATTTGATGCCTTCCGATCTCCACGAAACAGCATTTGTAACGGCCATTGGAGGCCGTGGTGCAGCCTCGAGTTTATGGCCTTCTTGTGTTATGAACCTATACAGAAAGCAAATTCATGAAAGTAAGAATCCCGGAAGATCTGAGAACTTACTCTTGCAAGATGCGGCTCTCAGTCGTTTGCGGGAATCCGAAATCCATCATTTCGTCAAGCAGTTCGTAAATCACAACGAAATTATCACGGACTGACTCCTCTTCAACATCTTTGAAGTATTCAGTGAAAACCTTGAATAACATGCACGGTAATCGTTGGAACACGATATAACGAATAATCGTATAGCATTAGTTTCGAAAAAAAAGTCCCTGTGGACAGGTGCCCAAATAGATTCCGCTTCAGTTTCTGTTATCTAGTTTGCATCACACTAGCACTGCTATCAGACATTCTACCACAGATTCCACGCAAAGAGAAACTCTCAGCAGTAGAAGGAAGTTTTTGTATACCAGCCGTCTCAGGGAACGATTGACCTTAGACATGAACTACTTTACGACAGAAGGGAATTTGATTCAGCTCAACATTAAAACTTTCCACGGAAAATCGAATATAGAAATCAAGATTATAGCAACGAAACCCACCTCAACGCATTTGAAAAGGAATGAAAGAACCAATGCAACGTTCACATTTGTACGACATGTTGAGACAACTGAAAACAATACCTTTCAAACGAAGAAATATGAAGTAAGGTTGGGATCTTTCCTGTATGAATGGACAAGCAGGAGAGATATCCAAATTGATTAACCCTACATCTATCTTACTATGCACCATACGCTTTATACTGACCTGCTCTCGAGCACAATGCAAGAAGGACAGAGAGGAACAGAAAAAAAANTACTCTACTTTTCCATGAGTGGTAGAACCTTTGCTAAAGATAAGTTCTTCAGAGACAAAGCCGAGCTTTTCTTACTAGTTTCTGCTTCGGTTAATTGTGGAGCAGGGTTTCATCAAGAAGGCTCATAGGAGCAAGCCAAAAACTAGGACTTCTTACAATCCAAAAGCGATCAATGTTCTGTCTCGACCTCTTTCTAGTTAGACCTAGTAACTGCATATTTTCGTGGTTAAAACTTTCGACGGATTTTTTTCTTGCCGTCCGAACCCTGGTGTGTTTCCCATGAACTTCTACTCCACACCCAATAGCAACAAATCAGGCGCGATCGAAGAAAAACGAGGCAGCCTCAAAGCAGAAAAAGAAGATAACGCTCAAAGGAGAAGGAATGGGTGGAAATTATCGATAGAAAAGACTTTAAAGAAATCTTCTCAGAGGTAAACTTCTCACGATTTCAACTATATTTATCCCGAAAATTCACCAGCAAAGACAATAACTGATCTTATAAACAGCACTCACGATAGATATTGTTGTGTTTGATGTAAACGAAGGTCGCATCTTGATTCGAAATCACAGGAGAAGCTAACCCTTCCTCTTCGCGATCCATGAGCAACGGAAGAAAGCGATCAATAACATTCATATCGACATCACCACGATAATTACGGGATATAATGGTCTGAATGAGTTATTGCCAGCTTCTCTTCACATAAGTAAGTAAGTAAACTAGGAAAACTAGGCCTGAAATGTGAAAACTACCTTTCCCTTGAGATCAAGAATGAAGATGGCCGACGATGACATGGCTTCTGTATTGAATTGACGTCAATTTGTCCAACTTCAGTTCATCTGAATTGAAAAACTCAGAAAGTAATTGAAGTATGTGTAAATGTTATAGAGGGTAAACCACAGGAATATTTCATAAAGGTTAGGGAATAAGGCAAAGAAAAANAAAAAGAAACAGAGGTAGAAACGAAAACGCAAGCAGCTGAACTGACTGTATTTGTCAGCTACAACTAATATGAGCCCTTTCAAGAAAGAAAATTCGATAGAAATGACTATTTCCAGAAACGAAACGAAGGAAAAGAATAGAAATTCCGGTGAACCGACCCGTTTGGGATGAAGACTTCCCTGTGAAGAGGCTGGACCCTCAGATCAACATAAAAACAATTAATAAACTAAGCAATTTTCTGAAGTTCGAGTAGAGTAAACACTGCAAATCAGTTAATTAGGTGATAATATTTTGGAAACAACATTTTCGCAAGTACAAGAAGAGTATACAAGTAGATTTTCAGTGACTCCATAAGAAAATGGTTCGGATATTTGTACTCAGGGTCGATGGATATCTATTTCTAGTTTACACAATAAAGGGCGGATACCTGGAGGAGAAAATAAGAGACGTAGACAGAAAAAAAGGAACACAGTTTGCATAGGGTGCACGGTTATTCGACTCCTAATATGTAGACAGTTGTAATGTTGGACAAAAAGCTTAACCAACCGCTGTGAAACTTTTGATCAGACCCAGAAGGATATTTTAGACTTCTATTTTTGCTTTCACTACACGAAAAACATATTCTTTCAGATGCTTACGCTTACAACTTCCCAAAAATAGTATTGACACAGTGTATGCTATTTTAAAGCCTTGAAATAAAGAGAAAAAAGTTCTCTCTCGATAATTGACTGTTTACTGTTTGTCTGAATTCAGTAAAAAAGATTATCAAAAGGAAGAAGTAGAAGAGGACAGAAGCCAGAGTAACAGAGATCGGCCAGGAAAAGATGCAGAGCATTATTGCAACAGTAATGATTGGACGTCCAATTTTTTTTCATACGGTAGTACTTGGCTGAGGCCTTATCGCCTTTTGATGTCCATTCCTCATTTTCTGTCACTGCCCAAACCTTTCTGGATCAATCGATTATATTGATCCACCCATCGCCTCAATCTCAACGTTCCGCTATCATGCTCGTGATTGAAGGAACTAAATTCTATTTCCTATGTAATTACATCAGGTAATTTATCTACTTTGCATTTTACATGGTTATCGATGCTTATCACGTTTATTGGTTCCTTTTATTGATTGCTGACCGGTCTTATTGTTGGACACGCGCCGCGCCGCTGCCATGAGGCCCCGCCTTTCATGGTATTTAGTCACCCTGTCTCATGATTTCTCATTTTTTAACTACAGATTTTCATTTCACCAAAAAGAATCTTCATTTTACTCCGTATAGCTCAGTTGAAGGGCAAAATTTCTTTTCAACTTGTTAGTTTAGGGTTCCGAGAGTGGTAAAAGTAAGATCGCAAGCTTATCACCATTTCGTCGACTCTCTTCTCCGTTATCAGTCCATGAATCGCTCAATGATCAGTCACTGTTCGCTTCTACTTTTAACTGTAGGCATAAAAACTACAAATACTTTGACCAGTTACTGTTCGAGTCGTACTATTGTGAGAACCAATTTCGTACTCTATATATATTCACCTTTTCCGCCTTAAAAAAGATAAATAATGGCATTTGAGCTGTGCAGCAATTGAGAGCGAAAATTGATCGATAAATAACTAGTTCAAGAAAACTTTCTACAATGTCTCATTCCCATTCATTCATTCCCTGTCGAGCAGAGCGCCTTTCACTGTCGATTGGGTATCTTTAAGGGCTATGAAACATTCTTAAGCTGATTTTAGGTATTTCTGTTATTTTTCATTATCTTCATTTTTCACTTCAAAATTTCAAAGGAGCCGAAACGGCAGGGTCAAGCGGCGCGCTGTCACTTGTATGGTCGGGGGATCGAATCCCGCATGGATACACTCAAGCCCTCCACGCTTTCGGTGTCGGGCTATTGGTACCAAACTCGTATGGGAGGATAAGAGCACTCTCTAGTATATCGGCCGGCCACCACAAGTCTTCATGTAGGCCTAATACGCATTAAAATGCGATTACGATTCCATACGGGAATCGAATGCTTAGGCGCATCTGAAAATGGGATTGATCACTACCAAAAAACGTAATTCTTTTTGACACAAATTCGCCTCGTTATAAATCTCAAAACTTCCATCTCAGAACAGATTTCAGTAGTATTCAGCTTGCACCTGAGACTGGTAATAAGGTAACAGGTATAGGTTCATGGCTCACCTTTGGTCAGGAAAGCACTTAGTCATACTGGAATATCAGAACCCAATTGGCATGAGTGAATTTTGGTCCAATACCGGCGTAATACATGCCCAACGATCAGAGGGTACTCTATGGCGGTCAACCATTCGCATAGTTTTTTCTCTGTATTCTCTTTCCTTGTCTATTTTCTACTTTTTTACTTTTATTTTTTACAAGTTGTGCTCAATCTTAGTAAGGAGCACCAGTAGTAAAATATTATACAACATGCATTCGGTGGAGGTGAAGGTTTTCTGTCAAGATTTCGAAAATGTTGTTGGTAATAGAGTACCAGCCTTTACAGTTAACCGTACTGATACTTACAATAGGCTATGAGTGGAATGTTGAGACGGCTTCAGAGGGGAACCGAACCCACGCTTAATTCCTTGTAGCGCTCCGATCCCAAATCCTCATGCACCTTTTCCAGGTTCTCCTTGGCCAAGAAGATGTCCACTAAGGCTGATTTATTACGATCTCTATTCTCTTCTCAAAAAGTCCTGAGTGTTACTAAAGGAACTCCAATCAAGGCATACTTGCTGCCAAGCACAGATGCTCACCAGGTTGGCCTTTGACCTCGTTTATAAAGTTATGCTAAGTTGGTAAGATATAAATTAAATTAAATGAAATGAGATAGTGCTGCGTGTTGGTGTTTAAAAAAGGGCAACAAGGCCGAATGCTACGCGGCCGCTCGCTCAATTTGCATATATTTAGGCTCCTCAGTGAAAGCCAAAAGATCACTTCAATCATTAATTGCCCAAGGCTTAAATTTAGCAGCGAATCTTTCAATATTTTTTCGAAACTCCACTCGGATTTCGATCGACTAACTTCTAGATTTCATTCAATTAGGAAAATACGCGTTTTTTCAGTAATTTTGAAAATCACAAATAAATATTTAAAGCCGTAAAATTGTCAATTAAATGTCCTCTAAGTGAAAGGGATGCCAGAGATCACCTCCAAAAAATGGTTTTGATTCAGAGTGAATATCTGGCTGATCATGACTTTCGCGTGAAGTTTCTTACTGGCTTCACTGGCTCGAATGCCTATGTAGCTGTGACCAACGATAAAGCGGTACTGTGGACGGATGGACGATATTTCATTCAGGTGAATTATCGCTATACTAATGAGTAGCCAGGAGTAAATTTTTTTTTTGAGAAATCTGAATATCATTCCCTGCAGGCCGTTGGGAGTAATACCGAACCTGTCTGGGGCGGCGTTCGCGGGGCGTACCTTTTCGCTATGGGCGGAGCTTTTGCAGCGGTGCGGAACGTGTATACTATCGCGGTAAAAAGTTTGATTGATCATGGTGGGGTTCGATCAAGCAACTTACACAAGCGTTTTGCTACCTCTTTTCCACTGCGCCACTTACCTGAGCAAGCTCGAGCATCAATCGTTTAGAATTTTTTCTTCGAAACAAAATTCACATATATTTTCAACAATATAAGGTTAAATTATCAATTTTTTTTAGGCCGCGGAGCAGCTGGTCCCACCTTTCACTCTAATAAAACAAGGTCAATCCGATTCTATAACCGTTGAGGATTTTATTGCGGGAAATCTGAATGATGGCGATTGGATAGGAATCGATCCTTCACTTCACACTTACGGTAAACAACCTATCATTCCTACAGCGATTTTTCTGATAAAAAAGCGTTGAAAGTGGCCTCGTTCAATATTTGGGCCGTTTTTCTCAGAGAATGGTGGAACACTCATAAAAACTCTTAAAAGTATGGGAATCTCAGTAGCATCAATCAAAGGAAACTTGGTGGACGAGTTCTGGAATGATCGACCACCACTTCAACCTAAAGGCGTGAGTATTTTCTATCCTCACAATTTTTTTTGACAGTTCTCTTCCACTTGAATGAATTGTCAAAGACAGCAGACCTCCAAGCTCATGGGTGTGGCTCTAGAGGTCGGCGAATATGGGCGGAGTCTTAAAATCTCTTGAGGCAGGGGGTAAGGCATAAATAAAGTGTGTACAGTGCCTGACTTCTAAGTCCATGGGTGGGACTCTTAAACCTCCTACCGATGGAGATGGGCGGAGTTTGAAAAAATGGTTGAGTTGGGAGTGTTGAGTGTAAGTTTAAAAGACCCGTCTACGTTCGTCGTGTTTGCTGTTGGTTCATTTACTGTTTATTGA